TGTGAGCCGCCCTGAGTCCCCCCAGGGAAAAGGGCGGCATACAAATAAAGCATCTCAATCTCAATCTCTCTTTCCTGTGGGAAACTGATCCCAATGGCTCTTTGAGTGTTTAAGGTTGCCAACCCCTGTCCTAGACTCCCTGTAAAATAGGCTCAATATTATTATTCTCTCCCAAAGGAAGCGGAGCAGGAGGTGGAAAAAAAGGTGACTTTTCTCAAGGTTTCTGGGTAAGGAGAAAAAAAAAAAGAGAGAGTAACTTACAAGGCTTTCTAGGCGTTTCGCCACAATAGATGCAAACCGCCGTTCTCCAGCCAGTTCGGAGATGAGAAAAATGTACTCTGGAGCAGAGACCTGGTTGGAACGGTGTGTGCGGCCTGGAAGGAAAAGGCAGGTCGTGAACGGACCATCCCACATATAGATTAACAGAGAGGGAAGGGACCTTGTAGGTCATTTAGCCCAACCCCCCCCCTGCCCAAGCAGGGGACCCTACACCATTTCTGACAGTGTATTTTCTTTGTCAAACAAAAATAGAAACTCCTTTTTTCCCCACAAACCCAACTCTATTTTTAGGAAGCTGAATGCGGCAAGCAATATTTTATTCTATATTTCCCTTCCACAACCCTTCCCTTCCGAGCAGAATAACAGAGTTGGAAGGCAACTTGGAGGTCTTCTAGTCCAAACGCCTGCTTAGGCAGGAAACCCTACACCACTTCAGACAAATGGATATCCAACATCTTAAAAACTTCCAGTGTTGGGGCATTCACAGCTTCTGGAGGCAAGTTGTTCCACTGATTAATTGTTCTCACTGTCAGGAAATTTCTCCTCAGTTCTAAGTTGCTTCTCTCCTTGATTACGTAGTTTCCACCCATTGCTTCTTGTTCTACCCCTCAGGTGCCTTGGAGAATAGTTTGACTCCCTCTTCTTTGTTGCCAACCCCTGAGATATTGGAAGACTGTTATCATGTCTCCCCTAGTCCTTCTGGTTAGGAATATAATTTTAACAGTTGGGTTGGCAATATATAAATCATATAGCAATGCTGTAACTGTGTCTTTAAATCATACTGTAAAATGTGATTGGTTGCTGTTTTCCCTCAATCGGCCATAAGAGGGAGCCAGAATGACTGTTAGCTCTCTCTGTTTGTTAGATGCTGGGCTGAACTGATCTGAGTGCCTTGAGCTATTGAAAGTTTTGCAACTGCTAGCATACTTTGTGTACCGGACTGATTATATGATTTATATATTGCCACCCCAACCGTTAGAATTATATTCCTA